CCCCATGATAGCCCCTATGTGCACTGTGGATTGTACCACAGACAACCCATACTGTGTAGTTTATTCATAGAACTGTCATGTCATGCAGACTTGCCCTATGTTTGAGAGGAGTTGAGATACAAAACGTTAGGTTCCCAGTTGAAGAGGAATGGGGAGAATGGAGAGGGGAAGGTGGGAGGAAAGTCGATGCTGACCTTCTTAAAACTAACAGTTGAGTGTTAGAATGATTAGGGTTGCAAGCACATTTATTGTGAGGTTCACACCCACCTTCCTGCACTACAGGAATGTTTCAGGAGTAAAGAAAATGTTTTTACTTGCCTGTTCATTAGAACCAAACAGAATATTAATAAGTTAAAATTGTATAGAAATAAATTGCTCAGGTTCAAGGACAGGCTACATGCACATGGTGGGCATGTCGTGAGCGGAGCTGGCTGGAGCTGGGGATCAGACTAGATGGCCCGGGAGGCCCCTTCTGACTCGCTCTGTTTCTATGTTTCTAAAACTGATGCCTCTTATACCTGGTCCAGCCTTGTTGAAACCCTGAACAAATTCAGCCATGTGAAGAAGTGGGGAGTACACGTCAACATTTTCATGATGGTCCATTCACAGAACCTACTTTCATGTCCCTTCTTCCACTGCAGCCAGACTTATATATTGTCTTTTATATTGTTTTAGGAAATACTGAGGGAAGACATCTTTTTTGAATTATATGCCATTGTATAATTCAGTCAGAAAGCTTTCCAAGCCTTTGGAATATTTTTAATTTAATATGACTAAGACTTTAAAACATGAATCATAAAAAGGATGTATGGTGCCAGCTAGGTTCCTATATTTAAGTCTAAACTTGCATTCACAAAGCCCTCCCTATCCTTCAGAATCAGCTCATTAATACAGTTTAAAATGCTTTAATTCATTTGTCTGAATTTAGTCTCTATTGTGCCATATAAATGAGAATAACATACCACATAAATTAATACTTCTTAAAATGGGTTGATTACTGGCTGCCAAGATTACTGGAACCTGGCAATGGAAAAACATTCTCCATCATTCATTAAAGAGTGCAGATACTGGATATTGCAGAAATGGACAAGGAAAGAGACATGAATCGAGGAACTGGGTATCTTCATTTGGAGTACATTCTCTCTTCTGCAGGACATAATTAGTTTTATACACCTATTCTTTTCAAATCAGGTTTTTTGACAGAATCTACCCTGATAATCCTGACAGACAGCTGGAACCATGAAATAGGAGAAGCATGACCCTGATAATTCTCCTGAGAATCCTATCGGCTTTTCATCATTTACAGCACAACCTCTACTGCTATTTTATCTGTTTATCTGTTTATTAATCTTTCTGGTCTGTGACCCTAAATAAATACTAAGCATTAGCTATGGCAACCTTCTCTGATCTGGTACTTTGCAAATGTGTTGGCCTAAAATTCCACTATCCTTAGCATGACCTTTGTTGGATGGAGATGATGGGTTTTGTACATCAACACATCTGTCGGGTACCAGGTTGAGGAAAGCTAGACTATATTATCATTCTCACCTGGTTTGAAAGTGCAGAACAGGTGAAGAAGGAACCATTCTAAGATGGTTCCAGTCATTCTTGGATATTAGATTCTGCATTATAATAGGGGTCTACTGCTCTGCTACATTACCATTAGCCATAGGCTTAAGAGGGGTTGCAAGGTTCCATTGTTGTATTTCCCCCCAAAAGAAAAAAAAAAGACTTGGGGTTTATCTAACTCCAGCAGAAATAGTGTGAAACTCAACTAAACTCAAGTGTTCCACAGAAGCCCAAACTTTTTATCAAGACATTCCAAAATGGCATCTGACAGTTTGGACATGCAAGTCTTTTACCCAAAAAACTTTTAATTGCCTATTCCAATATCACTCACAGGACATTAAACATTATGTTACATCTTTCTCTTGCTGAATTGGTATTTCTCAATTACTACAGTTCCACAACTACGTATATATTGCCATTTCTGCACTTCATTCTCTAGCCTCAGGGCCAAATTCAGTCCCTTCTGGCTTTCTGGGGTCTATTTATTTATTTACAGGATTTATATGCAGCTCTGTATCTCACAAGAATCTGGGCAGAGAACAAAAAGAAGACAAGAGAAATTCAAATACAGAATTAAAACACTTCAAATCAACTTGTGGTTGACCAAGGAATGCTAACTAAAACAAAAATGCCTCTCATGTGCCAAAGCATTAGTGCCTGTCTGACATGAACAGACAGGGAGTTGCACAAAGAGGGAGCCAGCTTGAAGACTTGACTCCAAGTGAACCACAAGTCTACGTGGAACTATCAGGTAACACATCTGATAACCTCAGTGACTGGGCATGCAGGTAAGGAAGAAGGCCCCTCTCAAGCATCCTGGTCCCAAGTCTTTAAGGCATTATATCAAAGCCCTAAACCTGGCTTGTTAGCAAACAATCAGTGCTGTTCCTACAATGAAGGAGTCATATGCTGAAAAAAGGCAGCTCCCACCAACAATCAACTGCTACATTAGGTGCGAGGTGTAGCTCCCAGACCAAGTTTAATGGCAGCCCCACACAAAGCATGTTGCAAAAACCCAGTCTTGAGTTTACTACTGCCTGCGACACTGTGGCCACACTGTTCTTGTCCAGGAAGGCTCTAGCTGGTATCCCGGTTCAAGCTCCTAAAAGCTTCCATGGGCATTTGGGCCTTCACAGTGGTAGAGATGGATCTACCCAGACTACAAACCTGACTTTTCGGGAGACTACGACCCCACCTAACACAGCAGTTTCCCTAGTCCTGGGATCAGGAATCACTCACACAAAGCCTCTTATCTTGTCAGGATTCTGCTTCAGTTTATTGGTTCTCATCCAATGCATCACTGAGGAATTGACCTAGCACAGCTTCACTTGATTTAGATGTCACAGCAAAATAGGCCAATGTGTTATCAACATACTGATAGTACTTACCATTGGTTCCCAATTGGGTTTCTTCAGGAGTGGCTGCAGTACTGCCTCTTTAAGGGCAGCAGTAATCTCCTTCTCACACACATACTTTTATCACTCCCTGAACCTACTATTATCTGAAAAAGCTAAGAATTGAGCCTCATATGGTCAGTCACATTGCTGCAAGCACCCTGTGTATAGGCTGCAACAACTGAAATTGATCTCACAAAACTGGCAAATAGTGGTGTCAGACATCTCAACTAGAGGTATTTTAACAGTGACAGCAAGTTCAGTGTGGTGATAGGAGAGTTGGTCCTCATAGTACAATGCAAAGAGGTCACTGTGTGTCTTTCAGGATTCCAGAGCTCCTTCCCTCAGTGTTTAAAAAAAAACTCTGAATCATCCAAAAGAGCTCTGGTGGATGGCTACCCATGGATGCAACAGAGTCAGAAAAATAAGCCTGCTGCTCACTATCAGGTCCAGGACATGGGTGGCAGAAATCTATGGCTGAAGCACCAGGACCAGAATGATGGCGATCTTGGCACGGATACAGATCTCTACCAAAGACAAAGTCAGGAACAGGCAAGGGTTATAAAGTATACCCCTGTGAAGTCATGGTTCAGCATTCACGGCTTCAGTCTTTCGCGGGATTTTTCTCCAAGTCCAAGCCAGTCTCCTTGCGAGTAAGCCGGCACCTCACCGTGCAGTGGCTTACTCATGAGGAGATAATTTCCTGAGTTTGGATTCGCTCGGAGAAAACGATCTCTGCTCACATGCGTCCCTGCCTCGCCACGTGCGCCCCCAGCCCAGCCCAGCCCGTGCCTCCCGCCCACACTGCCTTGGCGGCCGGCACCCATCGCCAGCACCAAATTCGCGGTTTTTCACAATTCACGGGTGCTATAGGAACGTAACCCCCATGAATTCCGGGGACTACTGTATATCCAGCAAGGCATGGCAGGTCCAAAGGCAAAAAACCAGGAACAGGCAAGGTTAGAGTTCAACAAGTTATGACAAGTCCAGAAGCAAAGGCAGAGTCACAGACAGATGAGTCAGCTACTGACAAGGCATGGCAAAACAAGAGGCAGATTCAAGGTCAAAAGCAGGCAAGAATTAGATTACCACGAAGGCATAGCAGGACCAAAGGGGAAGAAGAGGATCAGGTAGCTGACAAGGCAGGGTAAGAGTGGATGCAAGAGCAGAGTGAGGAGTCAAGGCATAATTGAAAGCAAACCAGGACTGGAGGCAAAATCAGCGACACAATGCAGCTGCTGTGAAGGCCCGTGCTACTGTGACAAAGCTCAGCAGAACAGGGAAGCCTTTTAGGGAGACTCCCAGTAATGCACAGTATTAATAATACAGACTGCCTCAGCTGTTTGGTGGATTCCCAACTTTTGCTCAGCCCCCCTCCCCATTTTAAAAGGCTGAAATGCTTCTCCTAAGGCTTCATTACTGACGTGAGTTCTTTAAGCTACAACATGTCATTTTTGTTCTAGTCTTTTCTGCCTTTGATCTTATCCACCACTAGAACGCATCTCTTGAGTTTATGCACCCTGATCACAAAGCAATAGTGGTGCTTTTGGAAATCAGCAAACTGGCACTACTGGAGGACAACCCAACAAACTTGTCAGAAAAACTGCAGTGTTTTCTATTTTATCTGTGCCAATTCATTATGCTTTGGACTTAATCTCGAATACTGGTTTAGCCCTTTAGGGAAAAATCAAAGTTAGTCAAGTAGAGCTTCTGTTCCTCAAAGGTAAGAGTGATGCTTAGTTCTCAAATTAGACTACAACACACTTGTTTCTCCAAATCCCTCCCACACATCCCCCGGGTCCTTCCTTGATGGATCTTTACAGAAGTCATTCTTCACATTCTCCAGCCTGTTATCTGAATAGTGCAGCAAAATTTTCAGTGTATTTTCTTCCAGCAGTTGAAAGGTTGAAAGCTCACATGTCCCTGTGAGCTATGTCATTTCAGAAAACTGGCTCATTCCAGAACACATTTTTCCTAGAGAAAACAAAGCTTTAAAGCATTCATTTGCTAATCATACCACATATGTCAGCCACTTACTAAGGTGGAGTAGGAAAAGTTTATTTGAACTTCAAATGAAGGTCCAGTAACTGGCCAAAATCAACATAAATAGTACACACAGAACTTCAACAAAGCATACTGTAGCCATTTCAAAAGTATTCCATAATGGTGGAAAGCTTGCTTGCAGAAACAATTACTGATGATAAATCCAACTTAAAACAATGCCTTTTGTACACAAGAGGAGCAGAACATTGTTTCATCCAAAATATTGTTCGTTGCCAGTGAACTAAACCAGTTCCTAGTATTGAAAAGAACATTCCTGTTGCAATATTGTAAGTAAAGAACTTACTTCCATTTAAGAACATGCTTAGGCTAAAATTGCTAGAAAGGCTATTTAATGTGTTGCACTTAAGCAACTCTACTGCTCTGCAATTTTTTCCTGAAGAGGTGCTTCTCAGCTTTCTAGAGCACCACTACAGAAGACCTGAGAATCAGATAAGATGTTGAAAGGAAAGGACAGAGGCAACACTCATGCAGAGGGATTTCCAGTAGTGTTTTGTTGTCATGCAGAGTTCTTTGTCCATCTTTGAATGAAGCAGAATGAATTATGCAAGGCTACACAGACAGATATGCAGAACAGCCATTCTTGGTTCAGAAAGTGGTTAAGCTGGCACAGGAGTGTGACTATGCTTAAAAACAAATGCATAATCCTGGTTAAAACAAGGGCACATCTATTAATGGGAAAGTGAATTATTGCTAATATTGGTATCAAATAAATGCTTCTCAAATCTAGTTCATTATAACTTTATTAAAAATGCAAGAAAAGTATAGCTGAATGTTGTCATACAATATATACATATATTCATCAGGTTCTTAAATAACCTGAAAAATATGATCAGGATGCTGCACTAATTACAGAGGTTAGTTTATACAGATAACATATTATACAAAATAAAGAAATATTCTTAATTACTTTTCCAGAAAACTGCATGCTAATTTTAGATGTGATATGCTTTAGAAGTACACAGGAATGTTGCTTAGAAATCACAAATTACCAACTTATTTTAAATTCACTAAGCAAAACCAATAATTTTACACAGTTGATAAAGGAGTTCTATAGAGTACCTTGACCTTTGATTCAAACAACACAACAGTGGTTTGGGAAACATGTGATTAACTTCTAGTTTAACTTTTACCTGGAGTGCATAATTTATTTAAAAGAGGGCAGGTTTGGCACTTTTATACTGATGTCACCAATATTAATATTTCTTGGGATCTCTGGAAGATTCATATTCTTTACAGCTGACACAGCCCGAGCTGGGGCTCCTGCTAAACCAGCCTGTATACAGAAGAAAAAGATACCACTAAGATTATGTCCATTATAATAACACGCCCTTAAGATGACACTTATTACAATAAAGCATAAGACACTGACATTAAAGAGTTGAAAAACCAGATGGTATTTTGAATTGGAATGAAATGGATTATTCTGAAATATTTAAGTAGAAAGAGAAAAAAGCAGTTCACACAAATTCTAAAAATATGGTTAACACGTGCAATGGCAGCTTGATGAAAAAATTAAGATGTAGTCTGTAAAACAACCAGATTGAGGTTAATTAAAGTTAAGGCTCATGCTGTCTTTGATTTTACTGTTTCCAGGTACTGCAGCATATATAGTTCATAACCTGTGCCAGTTCTCTCAAACCTGCAATTAGTAAAAACTTGATGATCAGCCAGTTTTAATGGGTTTCTACTATACTATCTCAAATATGTAATGTTTATTTTTCTTATCGTCTTAGCATTTAATCAAATGCTAATGGCTAATGTACAGGAGCAGGGGGAGGAAGAGGAGGAGGAAGAGGAGAAACTGGATGGCTTCAGGTGACTGGAAAGAAAGAGGCCATGGTGACTCATTTTCTTGCCCTGCACATGCCAGTAATGCTCCACCACATTTCCATAATTACCCACACAACCATACATGGGTTGTTGTGTCACCCAAACCTGCGAAGTGGACAGTAGGAATAGTTTCTAAACAACTCTACAACCCTGAGTGGTATCTTTTCCTTCTCCCATTGTGTAAACCTAACTATGAAAAAGATTTACTGTGTTAAAAGTGCTTACTAATAGTGAATTATTTTTATCCCATGCAACCATACTTCAAAGCTCAGGGGATGCTTCAAGAATTAATTTAAAAAACCTAAGAAAACACCAAACATGTATACTAATTAGTGTTCAGACTGTACTTAAGTCTAGTATGTTTGTGTGTGTGGGTGCGCACTAAATAATTAGTTTGGTAACTTGCAGCTAAACAAAACATAGTTTCTCATATAAATCTGAGTGGCCAGACTTCCTCAATGGAACAACTACATGCTGCTCTTAAGTATGTGACATTTACTGTAAGTGGGCATCTGCAGGCAGCAAAAGCAGACAGGAAAAGGCAGTGATAGGTGGTGAGTGACAAGTGGGAGCCGAGCCACAAAATAAAATGGAAGAGCTGCATGCAGCTCCCTAGCTTCAGTAGGGCCACTCCTGATATATATCTGCATATCTCCCACCTTTTTTCCTTTCAAGGAACTCAAAGCAGCTTACATAATTCTCCTCCTCCTCCTCCTCCCAATCAATCACATAACCACCCTGTGAGAAAGGTTGAGCTGAGAATCTGTGACTGGTGCAAAGTCACCCAATGAGCATCATCAATGAATGGGGACTAAAACCCAGATCCCAATCCCCCTTTCCATCCAAAAATAGGATATACAATTCACATATACCTTTTTTCTCCGAAGGATAAGGATCCTGTTTTCAAGTATTTTCTCCACATATGTAACTCTAAACATGTTCTACTAGTAGAACCAGTAGTGTTTACTAGTGTAATCCAAGAAACTACCCCAAACTTCCTCTATAAGAGGATACCTCTACTGACCTGTCCTACTCAGAAACCAGTAGCTTGGGGTAGTTTCTTGAATTGCTCTAGAAAGCACTGCTCTCCCATGTGGTAGAGGTCATTCACACTAGTGCAGTAGTAGTTCTGGATACTGCCCAATACAATTAATTTCAAAGAATATTGTTTTAATCCAGCATTTTAGGCTGAAGCCAGGAAACATAGAGAGACTGGGCTGTACACAACTCCTCTGTATGATTCATAGGTCATTAGAATCCTAATAACCCAAAAAATTGCTTGCTTGACATTGAAGAGGAGAGGAGAGAGTTTTTAAAAAGCGAAAGAATGTAATTGATTTTCAAAAAGAAATACTGAAACAGATATACCTGCCCACTATGTGCAGCTTGTTTCTGGTACATGAAAATCATGCATACTAAGTTCAATTACATGCTTCCAGAACATCAGAATCAGCTACAGGCCTACAAGCATATTATATGCACCATGCCAAAACAATTATCCAAGAGATGCAGATTTGCATTTCTTCTCTTTGGGAACCAAAGTTAAGATGAACTGTACATTATACACAGTTTAATTTATTGTAACTTATGTGAGGGTTCTGGCATAAATAGAACTGTATACCTCAGCTATTCTAAAACTGGAGATCATCACGCTAATTTTTTTTCAATATTCTGGTGCAATAGGTGTGCATTTCTATGTATAAATTTAGCCTCCATGGCTGTAGTACCTTGCTCCTCTGAGTTTGGCTTAACTGGAAGAAAATTTTGGAAAATTGCAGGAGTTTTTATGTTAACTTGTCATATTGCTCTAAGGCTGCATGCTTATTGGGAGTAAGTCACATTGAACTCAGAAGGGTTTAACTTTATAGTAAATGTGTTTATGTTTGGATTGCATGTTATTTATCATTTCAGACCTGGTATACAAGGTACCTCTCTGGCAGAATGGATATACTTCGAATTATCTGTATGAGTATAGCTATTACAAACGCTATCTAATTATTTAAAATCAATGGTATTTTTTAAAAATGAGAACATTGTTCTGCCTCTAACAGTTTTATTTATTTATTATTTATTATTTATTTATTAAAGCATTTTTATGCCACCCCATTCGCTGAAGCCTCGGGGCAGCTTACAACAATAAATAAAATGATTATAATATTAAATCCAAAATATAAACATCCAAAATATAAAAATCCAAAATATAACATTAAAAATACAAAAATACAATATAAAATAAGCCACCCTGGCCAGATAAAATCCAATAATATGAACAGTTAAAATGCCGCTTAAATAAAAAGGTCTTTGCCTGGCGCTGAAAAACAAGTAATGATGGCGCCAGGCGGACCTCTCTGGGGAGGCAGACCTCTCTGGGGAGTTTACAATAAAACTAGATACAACTAAATTTCTAACTTCCTAATTGTGCGTACAATTTTATGGAAGCGTGGTCCAAAATGGACTCCAGCAAAAATGTGAGCTGAGAACACACCAGTTGTAAGAGTCTGTTAAGTTTAAGTAAATAGGAGTATCTTCTTGTAATTACCACTTAAATCTGAACAACCAAATGTGGCTTTCATGCATTTTGCAGGCAGTATGTTGTGATCAGATCAAAATGAAAAACTTTTATAAGGCAGACTCCTTTATTGGAATTTAATGGGTTTCACTGTTATAGGGCATTTTCTATAAGAACTGCTAACAAGTTGCATAAATAAAAGTAAAAATCCCTCCAGTCTGTGAAAGTAGCCTCCGTCCACTGTACTGCCTTTTCCCAAAGTCTGAAGCCACCCTTGGCGTAGTTCACACTGCTTTTGGGCCAGATGGGAGTGGGGACACTGCCAATATATAACTGGTCTGCCCAGCTGGCCTGACATCGCCACACTGAATTTAAGAATTCACTCTCTTTCCCCCACCCCACCTGCTCTACAGTGCCTCCCCCATTCCCAAGACCGGTTCTCGCTGCCTAATCGTGCTCGTTAACCTTGATGTTTCAGAGCCACCTGCCAACTTCTTCCTTCTACCCCATTTATCTCACATTCTGAACATGAATTGTCTGGCAAAGAACGCTGCATTATGAGAAAGCTGGCTCCATCTCCACATAGGAATTGTAATGACTGCATGTTCTTGTAACAAGTGAATACAAGCAGTTCTTGGGTTGTGAATGTCCAAGTTACAAGCAACCTGTACTTACAAATGAACTGCCATAAAGCCTATTAATTTACAAATTTGAGTTAAAGAACTACTGGGGAGTGAAGAAGGGCCTCCAAAGAATGCCTTCTTGTCCCACCCATCCAGAGGAGGAAATCTCGGGTGCAAAGGGGGGGCACTGATGAGTTGGGGGGGGGGGGCGGTTAGACATAGTCGTGGTTTTTCCACTTGCATGGGGATCCTGCACGCTAAACCCGAGAATGTGGATGGCCAACTGTAAGTGATCCACCCTACATACATATTTGACTTAAAGACATGCTCAGGAATGGAACTCATTTGTAATGCAAGGACCATTTGTATTTGTTAAGTGGATGGTATATAAAGATTGAATTATATCTCCATGTGAATCCTTATGAAGACAGGAGATGAAAACAGCAGAAATTTCCTAATTTTTTTCTTAGCTTGACTGAGTAACAATTCAGTCCTAAGCATGTTTATTCAGAAGGCTTACTGAAGCCAATGAGGCATCTGTTCAACCAGGTCTGTTTAGACTAAAACTCTTTATTTCAATTACTATTCCTTGCAGAAAGAGTACTAGTTTTAAAATAGTTTGTTTTCTTAAGTAAAAACTAGTAAAAATCATTGTGTGATATATAAAAATACTGCCAATTAAGAGAATATTGTAAAGCTTAACTCAGCATGCACTTTTCCCCTACTCACCAAAAAATATTTAACCTTGGAGGCATTAACTTTTTTTTAATAGGCAAAATGCAGTACTCCATTGTTACAGACAGGCCTAACTAAAAGAAAGAGCATCTTTCATGTGTGAAGGAGCAGTACAATAGATCATATGCAAAGTAAAGTTTTAAGGTAAGCTTCCAGGTACATATAAGACATGTACTGGTCTGCCTGCATGCACATGTCGCAGAGCAATTTGAAAATTTACTTTTTAACTTTTCTATTTTTATCATGCCTTTTTTCCAGCAAGGAACCCAAGGGAACTTACATGGCCCTCCTCCATTTCATTTTATCCTCACAACAATCCTGTGCGGTAGAGTCAGTGACACACTCAAGTGAGATTAATGGAAGAGTGGGAACTAGAACCTCCATCTCCTAAATCCTAGCTCAGCACTCTAACCATGAGGCACCATGCTGATCTATTTATTGAGTGCAGAGGGAACAGAATCAGTTTACAGACATAGAGGAAGTGTGGCGACAGGGAGTAAGTCATAAGATCAGCAGATTCCTATCAAAATAGCTAACTCTGTAAATATAGCCTCTTAAGGCACCATGGTGATATCA